CCCAATCCCTATATGCAATGGGTACAATCCTGGCAGCCCTGCTGTCTTGAGCCTGGCAACTCTGTATGTGGTATGTGATCCCCATCATATGCGCACACATACACCCCATACACACACACACACACACACACACAAACACACACCTCATGCTAATTTAGCTTTATTAACTGGTGGCAAGTCAAATGTTATCTTGAAGAAGAAAATATCTAAACAAAAATGTGACTTTTATGCCTCTATCTTTGTAAAGCACCATGGTGGTACTGTGACCACCAAGACCAAGAACATGGAGGTCAGTGAACACAACATGAAAAGCACTCTGGTCCACTACCTTGCATGTGGAGTTCCTTTTGACTTGCCTCTACAAAAAAAAAAAATTGACACCATAATTGTTAACAGCATTGTCTGTCAGTGCGTGACCTGGTAAAGGTAAAGGCCCTCCCGTTGATCATCGATTTGCTCGAGCGGGCCCAGTAACGTCTCTATTGGAGACTTTGTTGTTACTGTGTTTGGCATATGGAATATGTCACGGGGAGCTTGCCAGGCTCTGCCGTGCGGGCAAGATACTCTCGGTAGCTTGCCGGGCTCTCCGAGAGGGGCGGAGGAATCGAACTCAGGTCGGCCATGTTGGCTGCGTGCAAGGCAAACGCCCTACCGCTGTGCTAGGTGACCTGAATGATAATAAATAAAAACATTAATTTTCAGAAAAGAATCACAAACCGCAAATAGTTCAGAAAGGGAAATTGGGTGCATTTATCTAAAAGATTCACCCACATTGCAAACTGAGATGGGTAATTTCTCCCTCTCTTTCCCCCTCCATTTCTCCAAGTAAAACTCTCACTTCTCTGAAAACAAAACCAAATCCAACCAGCAGCCAAATTTCACAAATAATAGAAAAACATCCAAGAAGTTTTAAAAGATAAAGGTTCCTTGTTGAAATGGGATGAAGACATGTAGAGGCTATATTTGCAACTCTGGAAAAGATACAGGGCTAACTACATTTGAGTGCTTCTAGAAGAAGCCACGTCTGTCTGCAGGGACATTTGTTCTTCAATATTTATCATAGAGATCAGGACCTTCCTCTTTAACCCTGAATTTTGCCATGCCATTGTCATATTCCTAAGTCTGGGAAGGGGGTGCAATTTAACACGGGTTTCTGCAGCACCATCTGTGGGAGAAGCATGGAGGTCAGAGAGAGAAATAATGATTAAATGCAGATAAGGGTATGGAGCTGACCCTTTAGAATTCCTTCATACTGTAAAACACTGATAAATCCATGAAAAGATTAAAACTAATAAAGAAAAATGGTTTGTGATTCAGGGAAGAGACACGTATACAAAGTACTTAGCTATATGGCAGCCACTATTTGACGTGAATAAGCAGGGACCTCTCACTGCCATCATCCAGATGAGGGAGAAACTCTCTTGGTACAGGTGCTCACCTCTCAGAGAGGAAAAAGCCTGGGAGGTTCTGTTAAGTAAGAAGTAGGCATGTTCACTGATTTAGTATTCATGTTTAATATTTAGTATTAAAACTAGAAGTCATTTGAACGCATTTTTAGACAAGCAAATTAAAATATTCTAAGACCATTAGGAATGATGATCTTTTGGTGTAAAACTAAGAGAAGTAAAGCAGAAAACCTGTAATATCAAATTAGACTTGGGATTAACAAAATTAATTTTTAAGATTTTTTTCTTTTTGGGTCATACACAGCAATGCACAGGGGTTACTCCTGGCTTTGCACTCAGGAATTACTCCTGCCAGTGCTGAGAGGACCATATGGGATGCTGGGAATAGAACCTGGGTCGGCCCGCGTGCAAGGCAAACGCCCTACCCACTGTGCTATTGCTCCAGTCCCAATTTTTAAGATTTTTTTCTAGCATTTACTGAGAGGGCCCAAAAGCAATAATGTCCCATAGAAACTAGAATTGTGTAGGGGGAGGAGGTTTCAGAGAGTTCTGGGGATCAAACACAGGGTCTCATGCACACAAAATGTGCAATTTGCCTCTGAATTATATCTCCAATCAGTCACAGAAGTTAGCACTACATATCCCAGGATTTGGTTCCTAAATACCTTCACTTCTTGAAAGGAAAACAGAGAATTCCTGTCAAAACACCGGGCCCCCACAACTGGAGTAGGAAAAGAGCAGAAAAGAAACCAAGACGATCAGAAAGCATGGAAGTGCATGAGACTAACGGACGTGGTCCTGGAGAGTGTAATGAACAACAACACGAGGGGTTTCCACAGCTGAATCAGACGGTTTGAACTAACCAATTACAAAAGCAGATTCTAAGTGAGAAATAGTTTCTTTAAATTATTCGATGTGATCATTAAATCAGCTTCTCTCTATTACACTGGACAAACATTTCTGCCTGCTTCTTTAGGAGAAAGGTTGTTTAATCCCCAGTTATGATCCTCCCTCCTCCCTCCCTCCCTCCCTCCCGCCCTCCCTCCCTCCCTCATTCCCTCCCTTCCTTCCTTCCTTCCTTCCTTCCTTCCTTCCTTCCTACTTTCCTTCCTTCCTTCTTTCCTTCCTTCCTTCTTTCCTTCCTTCCTTCCTTCTTTCCTTCCTTCCTTCCTTCCTCCCTCCCTCCCTCCTCCTCCTCCTCCTCCTCCTCCTTCCTTCCTTCCTTCCTCCCTCCCTCCCTCCCTTCCTTCCTTCTTTCCTTCCTTCCTTCCTTCTTTCCTTCCTTCCTCCCTCCCTCCCTCCCACTTCCTCCTCCTCCTCCTTCCTTCCTTCCTTCCTCCCTCCCTCCCTCCCGCCCTACCTCCCGCCCTCCCTCCCTCTCTCCCTCCCTTCGTTCCTTCCTTCCTTCCTTCCTTCCTTCTTTCCTTCCTTCCATTCCTCCCTCCTTCCTTCCTTCCCTCACTCATCCCCTCCTCCATCCTTCCTAAGACACAGAACTCGAGGCTTTACATGAGACATGTGCTCTACCACTGAGTTACAATTCTGGTACTAGTATGCTCTCTTTTATAGAAGAGTGCCAGTTAATACACGTACAAAAAATGATAAAATTAGAAAACTACCAATCTGTAATCTCCAATGAATTAACTGACTAGTTTAAGGATTGACGGATGCCAAAAAAACATCAACTGGAGAGAACCAGAGCAATGCAGAGAAATAAACCAGCTTTGCACCAGAGTGGCAGGAAAGAAACAGCCAAGAGTCAGGGATAACTAGAAACCCATCCAATAGAGGGGCCTAGAGGTGAGAGAGACCTACGGGGACTTGTGAACACAAAACTGCCCTAGTGTCTGGGGAACGGGAAGCAAGTCAGGACTCATGCTGGGGTCACGGATATGTAGGACACAGGGAAGGTAGCCATGGGCTGAGATATAGGAACCCGAACTTTCTCCTGCTGGTTCCAGACATGTTCCCATGAGCAGCGGCTGCTGATATGGCAGATGGGTCCCCACAGGGCACAGTGTGGCTCATCTCCCACATGGTTTGGCATCATCGTCCTGTGCTTTGTGGTCTGCCCACTGGGCTCTGTCAACTTCGCTACCCTGAAGAGAGCCAGGGATTTTCCAGGATCAACACCATGCCAGCCAGAAGTGCTTCAGGATGATCCATGAGTCTAAGGTAGGGGCTTCCTGAACCTGGGAATCCCCAGTTAGGACACACACAAACTTCCCTGGAGCTGGGAGAGAAGGGGGGACGAGAAGGAGAGTGGGGCCGAAGGTGAGGACAAGAGCCCCATCTGACCCAAGGATCATGCCCACCGGCATCTCCTCAAGGAATCCTTCTTTCTGAATCCAAGAACTCAGCAGGGTTTTCATTGATGCTGATGATATAATCTCAGAAACAGTCCCTAGGTTCCTTCTGCCATCATCACAGGCAAATTAAGTCAGAAGGGTCTGGCAATTCTGGGCAATTCCACTGAAAATTATTTAGCTGGTGGCAGCCTTTCCTCAGTACTGTAGGAAGTCGCTCTTTGATACTCTGCGGAGAACCAATGAATGAATGAATCTGCCTTTTCGGGGCTGAAGGACTGATGCATTAGCTGCATCTGTGTCCCACGCTTTGTCCAACTTCCCAGCTCTAAAGATGGGACTTTCCACCTCCAAGACCTTGGTCCCCACTCAACTGCCCTGACCCGGGCTCTTAATCAGGGCCTTCCCCACTGAGGCAGAGTCAGCAGTGATGGGGTACAGCTCCAGTGGCCCTTTCCCATAGGCCCCTGAGGTTAGTATCATATCCCAAACAGGAAGATGCATGGGCCCGGGAAACTGCCTTGCCGGGTTATGTCAGCTAAAAGCAAATACATGAGTCCCAGGAGGAAGAGGGCTCTGCAGAGTTGGCTCAGGACGCACAGCTCTGACCCAGCTCTCCCCTCACGTCTGCAGCGACCACCACAGAGCAGCAGGGAAGCCAGAACCCTTCCATGGGGGGCCAAGCTGGGGACAGAGACCGATGCTAGGTATGGTCATGGGTCTGCAGCCAGGAACACCCCAGGCAGCAACGATGACGCAAGCACCTAAGGGGCTGGTGGTGGAGCTGGGGGCGCCCTGAACATGGGAATCCCCTGTTAGGAAAGACGCAGACGCGCGCGGCCAGCCCCCGCGGAATCCCCCAGCCCGCGCAAGTGGGTTCTCCGCCCCCACCAACCACGCCTCCTTGGACCCCCACCCACCTTCGCAGCAGGGGTGTCAGAGTCTGAGCGGGGCGGGGGTGGGGGAGGGCTCTGGGGAGGGGGTGACAGTCACCCAGGGCGAGAGTGGCAGAGAAGGGGGTCACTCTCACGGACGAGAGGGCCTGCCCGGGAGGCGACAGCCGCTGTGCTTGCGGGAAGGAGCGGGAGGAGCTCACGCGGGGCCAGTTTCCTGCTGCGGCCAGCGCGAGCACCGCGCCGAGGGGCTTCCTGCGGGGGTCCCCCCGCGGGCCCGGGCCAGCCCCCGGGAGCTTCGGCCGCGACGCCGGCGGAGGGCTCACCCCAGCCCGCATCCCCCCGCGATGCCGCGGTCGCCCCTGAGCGGGCCGGGGGTCGCGCCCGCCGCCTACCTGGGCCCGCGGCTCGGCTCCTCCTCGCTGGCGCTGCCCCAGCCGGGGCTCAGGTAGCGCGCCGGGTCCCCCGCGCCCCGCGCCCCCCGCGCCGTCCCCGCCGTCCTCGGGCTCGCCCGCGTCCTCGGCCTCCTGGATGGCGACGCGGATCTGCACGGCGGGCGCGGGCCCGGGCAGCGCCTCCTCGTCCGCCTGGGCCATGGTGGCGCGGGGGACCCGGCGCGCGGGCCGGAGGGTGCGGGAGGAGCGGCCCGGGGACGGGGGTCGCGCCGCCGCCCCGCCGCCCCGCCCGGCCGCAGTGGGCGGCTCCGCGCGCGCCCGGGACTCGCGGGTGCGGACGCGCGGACGCGCCGCGGGGACCCCGCACGGCCAGCGCCGCCCTCCCGGCCCGCCGCCGCCGCGCCTGGGAACTTCTGGGAAGGAAACGCGGCGGGCCGGACCCACCCGCAGCTCCCGGTGGGAACCGCACGGGCGGGAACGTGGGTGCAACAGCCCGGCGGAAAGGCACCCCGGAGAACTGGCCCGGCCCCCGGTGGCCAGCCGGCCACCAGACGTTGGGATGCAGAGGGGCAATGACCCGGCCGCAGCTCCCGTGCCAGCCTAGGGGCTGGGGGGGTGGCGCCGAGCTCGGTCGGCCTCCTGAACCCAAAGCAAATGCTGCTTTTCTCATATTCCGCTTCCCCGGGTGGACATCTCAGCCTTTCAGATAGGACTCAGGGACCGGAGGCGGGGGCGACAGAGACATAAAACCCCATCCGCCTTCATGAAGCCCTTAGGTACCTCAAATCTAATGTACCCACGTATTGCATGATTTCATGTTTTCTTGGTGGCTACTGAAAGACTCCTTTTAAAGACAGGAATATTAGCCGGGATGGTGACTCGGTAGCAAAACATCTGCACTGCATTTTTGTGCATGCACACATGTATACACACACACATACACATATACACACGCACACACACATACAGTCCGTATCGCGAGCAAGAGGGACAGACACAAAGTCTTTGAACTCATTTGTGGCATATAAAAAGAACATAGTGTGAGACTAATACAAAGGACGGTGAAAACAAGGGCCAGGAGGAGTGGCTCATGACTGGAATCTTGTCACAAGTGCTGCTGGGACAGCAGCTAGGATTAGAGAAGGGACCACTATGGCAAAGAGAACTGGAAGTGATCTCTCTGGACAAGGACTGAGTGCTGAAAGTAGGCAAAGGGACAGACAAGATAGACTTTCAGTATCCGTATTGCAAACCATAATGTCCAAAAGGAGAGAGAAAGAAACAGAAGAAAAGTGCCTGCCATAAAAGTAGGCTGGGGCTTGAAGAGGACAGGAGGGAACCCAGGGGCATTGGTGGTTGGGACACTAGTGAAGGGATGGGTGATGTGACTGAAACCCAATCATGAACAACTTTGTAGCTGTGTATCTCCCAGTGATTCAGTAACTCTATCTCTCCTCTCTCTCTCTCTTTCTCTCTCTCTCTCTCTCTCTCTCTCTCTCTCTCTCTCTCTCTCTCTCTCTCTCTCTCTCTCTCTCTCCCGCCAAAAGAACCCGGGACCAATATGTTTGGTTATCAGATGTGCAGAGCCTCTAAAACCACAATAACAGATGGGTCTTCTCTGTACTTTCTTCTTTGGAAGAAAGAAGCCTCTCCCACCCCTTTCTTGGGAAAAGCTCAAGAGTTCCTTGGAAAGGAGAGTTCTGGTAAAAGGATATAATGCTTGGTACCCCCATTCCCTGCCTGGGCCAGGATGGCCCGGGGTCTAGCAAGCACAGCCCACCTTTGAAGGGTCCCCTGGAGCCCGTGTCCCTTTTTTATTAAATTTTATTTATTTATTTGTTTATTTATTTTGCTTTTGGGTCACACCTGGTGATGCACAGGGGTTACTCCTGGCTCTGTTCTCAAGAGTTAATCCTGGCGGTGCTCAGGGGACCATATGGAATGCTGGGAATCGAACCCGGGTCGGCCACGTGCAAGGCAAACGCCCTACCCCCTGTGCCATCTCTCCAGCCCCCTGTGTCCCTTTCTTTATCAAAATATTTTTTTGGCTTTTTGGGTCACACCTGGCGATGCACAGGGGTTACTCCTGGCTTTGCGCTCAGGAATTACTCCTGGCAGTGCTCAGGGGACCATATGGGATATGGGATGCTGGGGATCAAACTTGGGTCAGTCCCAAGCAAGGCAAACGCCCTGCCCACTGTACTATTGCTCCAGTCCATATCAGCATATTTTTGTGATAGAAAATGGTGAAGGAATAACCCCCACCACACACACACACACACACACACACACACACACACACACACCAGCCCTGGATGCTCTGCAGAAATGCCATAGCCCAAAACTGCATCACTGGGGGAATGAAACACTGTCTCATGAGCTCAGAGTTCAGAGAATCTTTTTCAAGCTTTTGGGTCTCCCCACAGAAGACCCTTCTGTTATTGTGATTTTAGAAGCTCTGTACATCTGAGCACCACTGGATGCGGATGGAAAAGAGAGACAATTTCAGTCCCCTCTATGCCTCCCAGTCTAATCATTTTGTTCACTTGGTTTGATCAGTTGGTTTGGGATTGTTTTGTTTGGGGTCCACTCCCAGGGATGCTCAAGCCTGCTTAGAGGTCATGTCTGTAAGTGCTCAGAAGACCAGGCAGGGCTAGGGATCAACCTTCAACATGCCAAACATGCACTGAGCCCTGTGAACCATCTCTGCTGTCTGATAAATTTAGATTCTAAATTTTACAAAGTGATATCCCTTATCTCATATATGCCACTCTGTTGAGAGCGGAAACGGGCAGAGACGGCTGGATAGAGAGAATCCTGCCATGCAGCATTAAGTGCTGGAATGTTAACCCGGAATCCTACATGGCATGGGCTCCACTCAGAAAGCCCACTGGAGACTCCTGTCTTCATCTCTCAGAGAATGAAGAGGGATAGATTTCATAACTAAGGAGCATGTGGCATAGGAGGGGTTTGGGACAGAGCAGAGACGCTGAGGAGCAAAACCTTGTCCAAGGAGGCCAGCTGGCAAGGAGGGGGGAGGCGCTGACAGTCTTTGGTCTGCTCTAACCAAACTTGAGTGGAAAGCAAGAGTTAAGTTGACCATGATATTCGGGACTGGAATCCCTACAGGCTGCTCCTCAGAGAACCCCCTGTGAGATGGCAGGGTGCTGTCAGATGTGCTCCCGCTCCAAACCAGAAGCAGCCTGAGGGTCTTCTGGACTAAGACAGCACCTTGAGTGACATCTGCTTACCACAGTGAACAAAGCTAGTCCACATCTGACTGACAGCAGGCAGCAGAAATAAAAGACCAGAGACAAAAAGGGTTTGCAGAGACTTAAAGAAAATACACAAGTGAAGAACATTCTGTTGCCTTCTGAGTCCACACTCACTCCTTTGTTGAACATTTGAACATTTTGTTGGTGCCCAGGCCTGGTCACACTGCGGGCCTCAGATCTTAACAAACACCACGTCATGGGATCACTGGAGGTTTCCCAGGTTGGCTTAAATATAGCGGCTTGGAGGCTGCCAAGCACTGGCAAATGCAAATACCCTAGTAGATACCAGGACTGCTTGGTGTTCCACTTATTAATCGGGAGTTCCTGAACACAAGTGTCCAATTCCACCCAACTCTATTGGACATCAATACCACAGCTGCTGTCAGGCACTAGCAGCTGTGGATTCTGGGACATTGCACTGGGTAGCCTTTCCTTTAGCTGATACGGTGAGTTTGTGAGTACACATGCCCAGCAGTGGTCCACAGAGACACAAATTCAGAGCCACAGATATTGATGAGCGCGCACTGCACATTTTCTCTTGGGCCTCCATAAAGTCCTTACTGCTAGCCCTCATATGATACCAAACACAATGAAGAAGCAGATGCATTCACCTGCAATAATGTATGAGGACAAAGGCCTGGGAAAGACTCAAGTATATAAGAACTATTTTAATTCCCTGAAAAAAAAAACTTCAAAGGAACAATGGATAGTAAGATTATTCTCTAAATTGAGGAATAAAATAGAAGATAGCTCCAAGAAGAAAAGAGAAAATATGAGAACACTACATTCAGAGATTACTGAGCTATGGAATACAATGGGTGACCCAAAACACACACACACACACACACACACACACACACACACAATTTGTGAGCAGAATGGTAGAAATCAAGGGGAAAATCTGTGTGCTTGAGAGTAAGGCAGATGATATGACCAAAAGATAAAAGAAGGAAACCAAATTTTAAAGTGAAGAAAACATAAGAGCTCTATGCGACACCATCAAAAGAGATAACAGTTCCGTCACAGCTCTTCCAGAAAGAGAGGAGAGGTTTAGGGAGAATAACTTGAAGTTTTTATAGCAGAGAACTTTTCCCATATCAGGATTGAGTCATCTATCTATCTATATCTGTTCAAGCAATATAAATCCAAATAGAAGATCATCAGGATGCACTGAAGCTAAAAGACAAAATCCAGAGCTATGGAATCTGGAATGAGACCAGTTGTAGTTACTGGTGACCGTGAGTGTGGAAAGGTAGGACTACAGCTGAATCTTACGAAGACAATGTTTATGAAAAACAGCCTCGTTCCTGACGCCCCATTCGCTCTCAATGGAACGACCATCTCCGAATGCAACAGCTATGTGTACCTAGGTCGGGAGGTCAACATGACAAATGACCTGGCACCCGAGCTGGGCAGGAGGAAGAGAGCGGCTTGGAACGCCTTCAAGAACGTCGAAGAAATAGCTAAGAGGACGAAGAACCTCCGGCTCCGGGCACATCTCTTTGATTCCACTGTTCTTCCTGCATTAACATATGCCTCAGAAACCTGGGCCCTACGCAAACAGGATGAGAATGCTATTCAGGTCTCCCAAAGAAGAATAGAAAGAGCTATGCTTGGAATATCACGTTTCACTCAAATGAGAGAAAAAATCCGGAGTTCCGACCTCCGTCGACGATCAAGAATCAGGGACGCTGTCTCATTTGCCAAGGTGTCAAAAATCAGATGGGCTGGTCACGTAATGAGATTTAAAGACGACCGCTGGACTAGAGCTGTTACCGACTGGATTCCACGGGATGTCAAAAGACTGCGTGGCCGCCCACCTACCAGATGGTCAGACTTCTTTGTCAAGATCATGAATGATCGGTTTGAGGCCCTTCATGTTCCCGGAGCGAACAGATGCCATTGGGTTACACTAGCACGTGACAG